CGCACTGTCGCTGATGTGTTGAGAGCAACCAGCCTGGACATTGTTTTCTCTGATAGTGACAATGTGTTCAAGAGCGATCCATTTTTGCCATCTTTGACGCTTGGAAACATGATTCGTTCTGGAAAATACGAGTACATCTATGGGCGAAAAATTGAGCCCGGCAACCAGAAGATTCAGAACTTCAACCCTGATGCCTACCACCAAGAGCCCATAAAGGCAAACACTGGCTTTTACTATGTAGCAGGTGGTAGGAAGCAAAAGATTGTGCAACAGGTTTTTGACAAAGGTGTGAAATGGTGCAATGACCGTCCTCATATGGATGACCAAGAGAATTTTTGGGATGCTTTGGTTGACACACGAAGGAAGAAAAAGTTTCAGCAGGACTATTTGGCATGCTTCCGGCATTGCAATAGCAGCGCATGTGATGGCGTGGAAGAATCCCAAGTGTTCAACTACTGTGATATGAGCCCTTGGGAGTATGTACTTGGCTGCTTTACTCCGGCCTCTGTGTTGGAAGAGCCAAGAATGGTCTCTTATCATGCTACCCATGTGGTCGGATGGCAATCAAAGCGGAAAAAACTGCAGATGGTCAACTTGTGGGCCTATTGCAATGAGACTGAAGTGTCAGAAAGCCCGGTGAAAGGGCCAAAGTAGCCCAAAAGCAGCCTTGCAAAAGGCGGGGCTCTGCACGCTCTGCACCACGCAGCACGATGCGCCTGGGAGGTTCAGAACAGCGAGCGAAAGATGCCGTGCCCAGTACGGCGAACGGGTGTGGTATTGTTAATATAGTAGCGTCCTTTGCTCCTGTCGTAAGCCGTTCGTAGCATCCTTTCTTCGTTCGTAGCGATGCCCTTTCTTACTATATAGTAGCTTCTTGTTCCTAGGCTGTGGAGCGTCCTCTCTGGTTTTGTTTCAAACGTCCACTGCACCGCTACGAACGCGAGAAACTGCTGGGGCGAAGCACAGAAGTCACTGGCCATCTAATCTCAGGCAAGACACGGCCGTCGATTCATGTCGATTCAGGTCTCAGGACGTCTCATGTGTGACGTCACGTTCATCAAGCGTTTCAACGGGGCCGTCACGTCACGTCGCTGTTGAGTCTAAGACTCACTTTCATCAATGATTCATCAGGAGTCATGTAGATTCATCAGGGGGGGGGTATTACTCATCAATGACTCTACATGACTCTACAGAACACAATGTCTTCTACTGTGACCTCCCACGATCACTCTTGGATCGCAACCGCGCGCCATCGGAAAGGGCCCGAGAAATCGGGACCTCGAAAAGGAATCGATGGCATCAAGTGACCCAGGATCCAGTAGCAAAGGTATAAAATCCTTGCTTTTGGTTTGATTAGAAACAAGTGCCTTACTAGTAGTAACAACAAGCTAGTAGAAACAAGTGCATCGCTTCGTTCGTAACAAGTGCCACTAGTCCGTCCACATCGGCTCGGTTCACATTCCGAAACGGAGGAGGTCAGTATATGGTGGAGACGTTTGACCTGTTTCATTTGTTTGACCGTCCACCCCGAGTCGCCGATGATCTCGGGTGTTTGGTCGCAAGGTCGGTCGCAGACGGTGAGGCGAACAGCATCGAGGTGAGGAGAACCATGGCGTCGGACCCGACAGAATTACGAGGCCAAAAGCTGAAAACCGATAAGGGCCCACCCAAATGATGTTCACGTCCTTTGTGGGTCATAGAGTCATAAGTAAAAGTGTCCGACACTCATGTGTTGCAAGGTCAAAGAGGCTAACAACTTCAAAACATATGTGTTTCGTTTGTGTGGGCAAAACTCATGAAGGCTTGGTCCAAGTGCGAGTCTTGTCCTATCAAAGCAAGTGAAAAAGAAAACATGTCTATGCAAAAAAAGAATATACAGATACCATTGTCAACCATCTCAATCCGGTCGGTCAAGACATCAGTTGATCGTGTAGAAACTCACATGCAAACGAAGGGCTCCAATGGAAAGGGTATGAAAGGGTTTAGGGGTTTTTAAAGTCCTGTCAAAAAGGGCCTTCAATTTTTGCGAAGAGGTGAATATTCCCAAGTGTTCGTGGAAGTGGCCAGGATCTTTTGAGAGCCATGAACATGCACGATTGGATCATCCCCTTCCAAAAATGCTTCACGAAATACCCTGAAGTACGGTGAGGCGTGTAATGGCCGGCAAGGGGGTGCCAGGAGCATGATGCTGCGGTTTGCTGGCTTGGGCCAAAAGATTTTCATTGTATATATTATTTTCAAACTAATATTAAATTGATTTAAATTATTAAAATTTGCCATATATAATAATTAAGAATATGTTATTTTAAATTAGATTTTTATTTATTTTAATAAATGAATTATTTATAGTAATGAAAATGTGTTTTAATAAAAAACAAAAATGTGTTTTAAGTGTTATTTTAAATTTAAATGGTCGCGAGTAATTCGGGAATTTTATTATTTCGTCTTTTATTTTTTTTCTTGCTTATTTTATATGCGTTTTATTGCATTTGATTTTTTTGTTTTTTGCTGGAGAATTCGGTTTTAAGTTGATATTTTTATTTCGGAGGAGATTGGGAGCGGTAAAATTTTTTATTTTGTTTATATGTCCGCCGTAAAGTAATATGAGGCTTGGGTTTTTGTAGATTTCGGTCTTATATAATCTAAATCTCGTATTAAAAGAATTATACGAGTATATATCCGAATATATTATTGTATATTTAATTAAGGAATTCTTTATTATACGTGTACGTTTAAAATGGATGAAATGCACAAAACGAGAAGTGTACACTTGATAGCCGCTTTTAAGCTCGAAAATAGGAGCGTTGAACCTCGTAAATTATGAGCCCAAGGTGATAGGTATAAGACCCGGAGGCAAGGCCGGGTAGCTCCGCGGCTCCGCGCTATATCGATGATAGCACGTAGAAGAAGGCGATAGCTCGGCGATGATGGAGAAGGGGAAGATAACGATTAAGAAGGCCTTTAACTACAAGAGTAGCCGCTGGAGGAGGGTTAGCTGGCGTTGGAGGACGATGAAGAGCAAGGGGAAGAGACCCTTGAAGGTCCGAAGGAACCACCTACGACCCTGATGCCGATGACCCCGCTTTTTACGCCTGAGCAGTTGAAGGGATTTTATGAAGTGTAGAGCCAAGTTCCTTACTTATATGCTCAAGTCCCGAGGTAGAATATCTGGTAGCCTGGCATGGGAAACAGGTCACCAGAAGAGGTGAAGAAGGAGAGACTCGCGTTTTTGCCGAAGGAGGAAGGTCCGGTTAGAGGGCCTCCACAGACGAGTACGACGACGGGGATACTATCCCGGCACTGGTGGACGATTATATATTAAATGACCAAAGACGTGGACGACTAAGAGAACCACGGGTACCTGAAATATAAGAGCCTGAAAGTGACAGCGACGGGCAACAACTTCCCCAACCTAGAGAATAATCGGTGGCTTAGATCCAAGGGAACGGATCGGGAGGAAGAGGTCTGTATGTTCTAAGAGAGGCTTTGGATAAACTGGCCCACCTGGGTATATTATGCCCCATGAAGAGAGGAGGGGACCTATACCGCATCAAGGAGGATGCCAAGTTTAGCTGCATCCTTGTGGCCCTGGTCCGCCGAATCCACAGGAGATGATGACCATGTTGGCGATGTTGAAGCAGGAAAATTAACAACTGCAGATTCAGCAGGCAGAACTCATGGACGCCATGAAGTACCAGAGGGCAAGCCTGGAAGCCAAGGTCCATGATTTACAACGTGAACTGGAGCAGCAGGACTTCAGAACGCCAGAAAGCGATGTGCCTGTGAAGCGTCAGCTGGAATTGACGATCGACGAACCTCTGAGGGAGACAGATTTGGAGGTGGAAAGACGCCGGCTGTATGAGTTGATTCCCATGCAACAGTTCGAGCAGCTCCAATCCTTGATGGGGACGGTCATTCCGGCGCCAGCAAAGCGAGGTGGTCGGGGGCAAGGACAACGAAAGAGGTCGAGATCTCAAGGTCCGAGAACTGCACGTCAGGGAGGAGGTTAACCTGAGGGCTTGGTGGCATCTCGGGCGAAGGGCTTCGAACCGGAAGGGAGATAAGGGACCGGGAAAGGTGTGGGTCAGCCAAAGAAGAAAACCAAAGAAGAAAACCACAGCTGAGCAGCCTGGTCGATCTTCAACTGCTAATGTTCGGGAAGAACAATCGAGAGAACGCAGTGGTGGCATGGCTGATGTGATGTCTATGCTGATCACCTACCTGGTCGATAAGGACAAGAAGCAAGAAGGACCTGAGTCGGTCAAGCCGGGAACGGCCACACTTCCGGCCTTGGCAGAGCCATCCGATACGGCTCCCATCGACCTCGCTGACTGGCTCACTATGGTGGAACCGGCAATGACAGATCTTAGTGACTCGTCGTGGGAGTTGGTGGTGAGCGAAGCAAGGGCCTGGTATAAGTAGTACATCAAGCTTCGCCCAATGCAGAGGGCCTTATCCAAGATCGAGCCGTCTGCTGAGTTGCAAAAGCCAAAGTGGGCTGGAGTGGAGAAGAGGGCCATCAGCATGCTGCTGTCTTCAGTTCCCACGACAGTGAAGGAGGAACTGGTAGCAACGAGGACTTTGTCACCGCTGGGGCTGGTGAGCAAACTCATGGTCCTCTATCAACCAGGGGGTGTTTATGAACGCACCATCATCCTGCGGCAACTTGAAGATCCGCCAGAAGCAGGGTCGCCAAGCGAAGCCTTTATGGGACTCCGACGCTGGATGCGTTGGCTCAGGAGGGCCACCGACATTGGCCTGAACCTTCCTGATGCGATCATCCTCATGAAGGGCATCAACAAGTTTAGCAAGCGGATCCTCACTCAACAACCGGATCTGCAATTCAGATGTGCCTTGGTCAAGAATACCTTGCAGCTTGATACCATCCCCAATGAGGAGACTGTTCGGACGTACGCTGAGCATTTACTCGCAGAACTTGAACAGCTCATGCATCGAGTCCGACCGTCATCGAGTACCTTGAGGCCTGGAAATCAAGGAGGTAGACCATTGGCAGTGAAGGCTCTCCAAGGGGAGGACAAGGACAAGAAGGGAGATTCGCCAACGACGTCAGCGAAGGGTCCCTGCCGATACTTCCTCACCGAGTCTGGATGTCGAAGGGGACAGTCGTGCAAATGGGCGCATCAACTGGAGATTGGTGATAAACCGAACCAGGAGAGGAGGTGCTTCACGTGCGGAGCTACACAACATCTAGCTCGAGAGTGCCCGAGGAAAGAAACGGCGAAGAAAGGAGAGGGACCCCCATCTGGCCAGAAACCGAGGCTTCAGAAGCTGTTGGACAAGATTGGTGGTGGTGGAAATGGGACCTCGCAAAGTGAGTCTGGGGCCTCGA